TAATAATAATAATAATATAATAATAATAATAATAGATGAAGTAAAATATAGCATTTGATACTCAGTTTTAACTTTCACGAGATAGGGAGGGTGAATGGTGAGGAACGGAAAGGTCATATCGCTCATATCGCTGGGTCACTGGGCCCATCTCAAATATATCAAGTTAGATGCCATTTTCCATACTTAGAATGACTTTCTACTCTGTCTACTAGTAGTAGTAGGTACCTACTTACCTGAATCCACTCTACAAATATCTCTATAACTTCTATTCCTCTTGTCCTTGCCCTTACCCTTATTCCCGATCATTTAATCCCGTTTTACATTCCTCAACATCCTCTTGAATCTTGACTCTTGACATCAAACTACATACTACATTTAATTTATCTAAAGAACCAATACAACCTTAAACCAGCACGCCGCGTCGATCATTTCCTGATCGTTTACCAAAATCATCTCGCCGAACCAAAGGAAGGAAATAAGCCAGCCGCATTAAATGGAACCTGTTACTACCACCTATTCTAAACCCCCACCCTCAATCATTGTGCACCACCTGCGCCCTTCACTTTGCATCTTTGCATCTTTGAGACTTTAATTTGAGTGGAAACATTTCATTCTTCTTTGCGGACTTCCCTTATTATTCATTTGTATCCAGTAGAGTATCTAGTACAGTATCCCAAGAATCTTACTTAAGGTTACCTAAAGTCTACTCAAGTAGGTACCTAGGTATACGTATACTCTCTTTTCCAATCATATCATTCCTCATCAACATCCTCAACTAATCCTCAACTAATCTACTCCTACTGTATATGTAACCAAGAGCCATAAGCACGTGAAGCATACCATGTATCCTCTCTCCTCTCTCCATCCACCAAAAAAAGCTAAGCCCCCCTCTCTCTCACCATCCATTCAAATGATTTGATAATCACATCCCATCCCCCTGTCCACCCATCCTCCCACCCTGTCCAAAATCATTTGATATACATATCGGTATGACTCACAGTCCGCATACCACATACCATATCAACAATTACCTACCTAGTACCTACTCCGTACTACTTACATTAAATTGAAACACCAAACCTCCTCGATTTCTAAGCAGAAAATCACTAATTCTTCTTTTTATTGGTAAATATCAACAACTCGAAGCTGCCGCCTGGAAACTCTGCATCAAGGGTTACAGATAATAACCTTACCTAGGTAGGTAGGTAGTTTTTTGCTTACGAAACTTTGCGTCTTTCGTGTCTACCTGCGTGAGATTGTATGGTATATCGGAACTGAGCGATGCAGAACTCCAAAGAGAGGGCTACGATTGTGAAACGTTGATTATACCATTTTTCTTCTTCATTTTTTCGTATATTGGAGGAGGAGGAGTAATTATTCCGCACCTCACCGCATCGCATTTCGTTTCGTTATTTATTTCTTCCCGATTTGGAAAATTGAATTGGGAAGGGACACGTGATATAACCTTACACGTGTATGTCTGTCTATGTGATGGGTTTGAGGGATAGGGATATGGATCTACATATAGTACCTGATATCATATCATATCATATCATATTCTATTAACGCGGATCTTGTTTCTAGGGCTGAATGCGGGGTCCTGTCCGTCGCGATCGGCTCGGATCTTGTTGGTGTGATGGGTTGGTGTGAGGGTGAGGGCTTGGTGTGTATGGGTGAGTCATTGATGGGTTTGCGAGGTACTGGGATTTGTTCGATGGTTCAATGGGGAAGGAGTGGTGTTGGTGTTATGGTTCATTGGAGGGTTATTGGGGTCATTGGGTCGATGATGAGATGATTGATGGTCACTGTACCACTAGTGTGGTGGATGATAATTATAAGTATGCATCGATATCGTCCTTCACTGGAAACTTTTGCATTGGAATTTGGCAGCAATATTCATATTGGGTAAGGTCATACTCGAGTAGTGTCACTTTTCGAACGAAATCTACTGTATCTTATCTTCGGATTATTTCATGGCATTCAACAGTTGCTCTTGAGCTCAAGTATGTGTGTACGAGGTCTTTATATTTTATATATACTCAATGTTCAGCGGTTTATTCTGTGACTTTCTCCAAGTTTGGAGGGGTCTGATGGTTGAATGATGTAAATGAATTCATTTCCATTCATCATATCATATCACATCATACACGAACGAAGTGTTGGTTCGAATGCACGACGACTATTCATGGAATATCGACACAGACCTAACTAAGCTAGCAACATCTACAGTACAATGACTTACAAAAGGCGCATGGACGATACCTAGATATAGTACAAACGACTACCTCCAATACCAGTACCAGCGGTTTCATTACAATCTACAAAACAACCTTACCTTCGATATACCAGAACTCCCAGCCTCTCTCCTCCAAATTCCAATCTTCCACAAGAACAAGAAAGCGTCGCAGAGATCGATGTACATGGTTGATTTAAGTTAGCAGCCATGGCTATTCGACTCAACTCTATGATAAGATTTATAAAATTTGTAGATACTACATTAAATAAAGTATATCAAACAGCCTCTGGAGTCTGTGGTCCTAGCTAGGAGTTCTTCTTTGGTGAGACGTTAGAACTGCGAAGAAAAATAGCTTTGTCTTGGGTGTAAAAAGTTCGTCGGGTTCTGGACTGGGCTGAACTATGTAGAATCTTAAAAAGTATTTACTCGAGTAGGTTATCTAGATTACTCCAGCCCATATATTCCAATCAATTGCGGAAGTACTAGTGTAATAACAACAACTCTTTTCTTTCTCTCTCTCTCTCTCTCTTATTCATAATACCTCAATTCCTCAACTTCTCAATTCGTTCTTGGGCATGACATCGCAGACTCAGTTAGAGGAAGCCCAAGCGACTATAGCTACCTAGCTAACGATTAAGCTGGAACAATGAAAACAGATGGGAAATGAAGGCTTCGAGTGCAAGTAACTTGGACTGGATGGCATTCAATAAAAGATAAAATATAGCGAAATCTTGTTTGTATTAATATTGGTTTGGAATATAATGATACCGATATGATTTTCGGTTGTTGCTATTGTGAATAATGTTGGTGTTTGAGGTGTAATTATGCTTCGCTTTGGTCACGCGTTACTCTGGTCACGCCTCACTCTATTACTCGTACACCTCACCGCTTTTATTTTGCCCATCCGCCAACACAGAGCAGTAACACAACGTCTGACCATCAAGATTATGCTGTGCCTCTGTAACCTTACGATTCGACGTATTTCATTGGCACATTGCCTCAGTATAATATTAGAGAAATTAAGAGAAATGTGTAATGCGTATATGGGTATGATATGGCCAATGTTTCTTAGGTTACAGCCTGGGTGGAGGCTGAGTGATGCTTCCACGGTATTGCTCATCTGAATCTTCTTCTCATAAGTCCCGAAAACTAAGGCAATTCAGCTCTCAACACTCTTCATTTCAGTAGCCTGGATTTTGCCTTGTTTAAATCAAAGAGAGGAAGGGAAAAGCGTGTCGCATTGGAGCGAATCCACAATTTCACAACCCATACATCTTGACAAGCAAAACCTCGGCTTCGCTGGTGGAGGTTAAAAGTGGAAGGGCATTTCATGACACTATCCACTTTTTTAAGACGACTTCTTATGTCTAGAGATCGCAGTCGCCAGTAGGTTAGACCTTTCGGCTTGCGCCTCCGAGATACACTTTCAAATACATATCAAGAATCTAAAAGCCCAGAGATTGACGGGGTGCATTATACATCCAAGATGAACCTGTACCGACAACAATCGATTAACCTCGACCGACCTACTATCCGACTTTTGCAACTTCTCAAGGGGAACGTTAGAGAACCCATTCGGTGTAACCTTTTGATTGCATGGTTCAACCAACCTGAAAGTGTCATACCATATGCTGCTTTGTCATATACATGGGGATGTACAGAAAAGTCGGTCAAGATCACAGTCGATAATACGACAATCAAAATCACTTCAAACTTGTATTCGGCACTTCGACATTTGCGCCTCGAAGACAAGGATCGGATCTTGTGGATTGATGCTATATGTATCAACCAGGACAATGTTCAAGAGAAGATCCATCAAATTCGGCAGATGGATGCTATATACAAGGCGGCTGAAGAAGTCATTGTTTGGTTGGGCGATGGTACTGAAAATACCGACTTTACCATGAATTCCATGACGCGGTTACAAGAATTTCGTTTGAACCTTGGAGGAGATTGGAGAGGTGCGGCTAAAGTTTGGCTGCACTTTCAACAGTCGATTATGTACAAGTATGAGGAAAGGTCTCGTCTAGGAATGAGTGAGTTGTTAGAACGACCATGGTTTCGAAGAATCTGGATTTTGCAAGAAATTGCGAATGCTAGGGTTGCTACAGTCTGCTGCGGTAAGTTTTCGGTCTCTGCCCGAATCTTTGCACAATTTCCAGATTTGGTTCGTACAATTTCCCACTATAAGTCTGTTCCGTTCAAGATTCCCGGCCATTGTCAATCTGTTTTGGATATCATGCCTGGGCTCTCACGAAAGGAGTCTTGGTGGGAGAAAGGCCGGGAACTTCACACTCTGTTGGTAAAGTTTCGTCACAGTGAGGCTACGGACGACCGGGATATGATATACGCTTTACTAGATATATCGTCAGATGCGCGTGATAGTGATATCTTGGATCCGAAGTACGACAAGTCATTACAGAAGGTTATTCATGAGACTATTTCTTTCATAATTCATAAGAAGTATTCTCACACGACTCACACAAATCATGATGCTTCGTTGTATGAGTTCCTAAATTGGACATTGCCAATGTTCTTGGAGAATTTGGAAGAGCTAAATAGCGTCATTCTTGGAATTGCGTCCCAGGATGGGAAGGAACATTTGGTCAAGTTATTGCTTGCAACGGATGGGATTAAGATCGACCTGAAAGATAACAACGGCCGAACTCCGCTGCAGCGAGCATCCCAAGGTGGCCATCAAGTTATTGTGCAGCTATTACTTGAAGGAAGTACTGAGCGCACCAAATTCCAGGATAGCGGATATAATCGGGGGCTGTTATTGTGGGCAGTTGGCTCCGGAAAAGAGGGCGCTGTTAGGTCATTGCTCGAGAAGGATGCGGACCTTGAAGCCAAATATGAGAATGGCCAAACATCGTTATCATTAGCTGCTAGGAATGGGCAAACGACGATTGTTACGTTGTTACTTGAGAAGGGTGCTGATCGTGAAGCAAGAGCTAAGAATGGCCAAACACCGTTATCAATAGCTGTTGAAGGAGGACAGATGGACGTTGTTAACTTATTGCTCAGAGGCGGCGCCAAATCCGAAACCAAAGATAATAATGGCCAGACGCCATTATCAATAGCTGCTAAGAATGGACAAGCAGATATCGTAAACCTACTACTCATATCAGGCGCCAGATTCAACATAAAAGATAACAATAAAATCTTCAACATCCAGCAAATCTTCACTCAATGCATAGTCACACTATGTGATTTCCTACTCGGAAGTCTGCGACTAATCCAATTCTTGGTACGCGCTGCTCTACGTATAATCTTCGAATGCGAATTTTTCTTTGGAATGTTTGGGTGTCTGCGTATGGTCCGCATTTATGGATTTTTTGGATTCTATCGAATTTTCCTCCCGTGGGCGATTCGGATGTGTTGGAATGAGGTCGCTGGAGGGGGATGGAATCATCGTCGTGATCGCGATCGCGGGGATTGGTGGGATGAGATGAGATGAGATGATTTGGTTATATGGGTGTATGTTAGGAGTTGAGAAAGATCGGGTGGGTGATTTCAATATGACATGTATGGTGAGGTGGAAAGGAGGAAAGGTTTGTTGAGATAAAGTATCAGGAGAAGATTGGGTGTGGGTATGGATATGGGTATGGGAAGCAACTATCGAATCCCCACACACTTCCCGAAATTCTTATATCCGAGATATTTATTCCCATCTCCATCTCCATCCCCTATCCACAAACCCGGATCCGAATCATGGAGATAGCGATGTGCAACAAAATTACTGAAGTAAAGGAATATTGGTCATTGGTTGTTGGTTGTTAGTTAGTTAATTGGTTTTGAGTCTTTGGATGTGCGGTGGATGTGGATGTGGATGGATGGCTCACTGGCATGTGCCTGCTTACTTGTTCCCTGGGTCTAGTGCCTTGGGTCTAATGGGGGAATTGTATTGGACCCGAGTTATTGAGTTGGGGCTCTGGGATCTGGGGTCTAGTGTGGTGTGTTGTGGTGGTGGGTTGTTATGGTGAGTTGGTTGTACATACGTGGATTTGACAAATCGATATCGGAAGTCCGAGATGGAGATGGAGATGAAGATCTTGGAATTTTCGGAGCCGGTGTAGATGTGCAACAAAAGAAAATGTAATGGAATGAAAGCTCTTGAAAGGGCTGGGCAGGGAGGGATTCAGAGGCGCGTGTTGGTAATCGGTATATGTGGGTTTTGACTTGTATAAAAAGGGGGAAGGGGTTTCGAGGTGGTGCACATACATGTTTGGATTGTAACATTGTGATTTTCTAATGTGAGATGAAAAAGAGCGAGAATCTTCAGCCGATGTTGTTAAAACGCAGTTTGAGATTTTGAATGGAGAGATTCGGAATTTTCAGGCGAAATTTGTTGGAGAGGGGATGAATTGGAGTGATTCAATTCTCTTTTCTGTTTTGATGGTGGTATGATATATACTATGATGAGATTGCAAGTGCAAGTGTGAGTGCAAGCATGTACACCTACCTGTAAGTGACAATTGCATTTGGATGAATACTAGTACATTGTCTTGCGATTGGAAATATCTGGAGGTTATGCACCGTGACTTTTGAGTCGTTTGATACTATAAAGTATTAGGGGGATAGTTGGAACTTAGAATTTGGAACTTGGAACTTAAAACTTGAAAGGAGACATATATAATATGTATATAGATAGTTGCTGTATCTATACTTATATACACGGGTATAGTAAGACTACATTACATCACTATAGTTTCCTCTTTTTCCTTCTTACTTTTATATTATCTTTGATTCTTTGCGTGAGACTTATTACCTTTGAAATAAGGTAAGGTAAGGTAAGGTAAGGTTCATGTTTACGATACATTTAGGTTTGGACTTTTTTTTGTTAATATGTAGGACTAATATTGATTAATAATTTGATATTGGATAGAAATTGTGTATATGTCACGTTATGTATATATGTATATATGATGTAAATGTATTATGTATCAGTAGTTTGTAAGATAAGAAAAGAAAAAAATAAAGAAAAAAAAGGATGGAAAGGCTTGGATTAGATTATCTTTTCTTTTGAGACTTGAGTCATGGTCCCATGGAGAGGGGAGGGTGTAAGATATGTTGATTTAATTATAGTTTTGGGTATAAGTTTAATTATAGTCATATTTCGGGGATTCGAAGAGGATAGATAGATAGCTTTTGAATTTAAGTTTAGTTTAGTTGGATGTGATGGGATGGGATGGCGGATTCGGATTCGAGATTTAGTTTGAGATTGGAGGAAAGGGAAAGAGGAAGGTTTTTGTGTGTATGTATATCATGATTAGATATCAAATTAACCTCTGACTTCAAGTTCTAGGAATCGTTGATTTGGATTCTTCCCCTTATTGCTATATTTAATATACCGGTATATCCTTCCATCTCCTCCCCTCTCCTCGATACTCAATATCCTAGCCAATCCCACTCGCTATTCTAGTTCCCATTCAATATCCAATCCAAGTACCAATATCCAAACTCTCACTATTATTCTCAATATAGTCAATAGTCAATCAATTAAACCAATGCACTGGTTAAACTAAACTAGTAATTTAGTTTTTGCTATTTCAAATTAATTATTTTAATTAATAATTTGGTTTTCCAACTAGTAGTTTAGTTTATCGATTTTAAACTTATTAGCAATTGGTTTATTTTGTATAATTAATCCAAGCTCCTAATTCAACTACAGCCTTTCAAACTGTCGGTTTCCCAACTGGTTCAAATTACTGGCTACGCTGATCATTCTCACTCTTGTTCTGATCTAAGTTAATCATAATATACCTTTCAAATTTCTTTTCTTTACAAACTTTTGATTTGATCGTTAGAAATTACTAGTATTTAATTTAGAGATATTCAGATACGCGAATATTAATATCAATACTCGATTATATATACAAATACTCTCAAAACTGTTTGAATCAAAGATTTATCAAATCACTTATATATTCGTAGTTAATATACTAAGGACTAATTAGTGAGTTTGTGATGAATAGCGAGAGACTCAGAAAAATTAGTCAAAACAACTTATATTTAAAATTTGATTGAATTATGTTTATTATTAGGAAAGTTATAAAAGGCGAAAATCACTATTTTGATATGAAAGGGTGGCCCAAAAGAGGGGTGGGCCCAAAAGTAGAGTAGTAGACTTATAGATAAAAAGTAGTATGCTCATTAAACCAGGGTAGAAAAGCTATTAGACTATGGATTCCAGTAGAAAAGTCTCATCTTATTATAGAGTAGAGTAGAGCTAGGTCATTTCTATAATATAGTGTATAGGACTCTGTTTAGGACTCGAATATAAAGATATAGATCACAATATAAAAGGATTTTGCTCAGTATTTTAGTTCTATATACTAGTATTCGACTTTGTCTCTTCTCTTCTGTTTTCTTTTCTTCGGTATCGTACTGTCTTCTTAGTTCCTTTTACTATTTAGGTATCAAGTATCTATAAACATGCTAGAGGAAAATGTTATGAGAAACATAATACTAGAGATGTAGAACTAAAAATCGACAACTTCTGCTGTTGTATGTATTAATAGGGTAGAAAAATGGAAGATACTGTAACTCCTCTAAATATATATATACATTTATATAAGCCTCCTCCGAACAAACAACCAAATAATAACTGCGATGAAGATTCGTGATAAAATGAGATGACTGGCGACTTAAAGAGATAGTTCAGTCCATCCAGCCAATCAACCAACTACATACCAGCAGCCGTCTTAGCAAAAGCCGCAGCAGCACCAGCATCCATCCCATACGTTAAATGCGGCGCCAAAATCAGATCTCCGTGCGCACAAATATTATCACCGGTATGACAAATAACTTTGGTATTTGCGGCAGAAGCGCCAGCGACTGCGGCTCCATTGTCTGGTTTGTGCGTTAGTATCTAAATCGCAATCAATGGTTCAGGGTGGGTTTATGTATAATTACCTGGATCTCCGAAAATGACAACGGAGCTGACTTGAGCCATGGTGGCTGCGGGAAGCATTTTGGCAGCGTTGTGTACGAGTTGGCCTCCTTGGGAGTAACCTGACATGACAATTTTTGAGTTGGGGCAATTTGTCACGGCTGTGGAAATCATTTGAGCCCTGTGGTGGGAAATTAGTGGTTGTATATTAGGACGAATAGTGGGAAATACATACATCGTTTTGCTTCCGGCGGCATCACCTCCTGCGAGAAATCCGGGGATGTTGGCGGGATAGGGTACACCTTGGACAGCCATATTATTGGCGCCCACGGCTATGCCAAGAGCAGCGACTAATGGAGGTCCTGCTACAGTACCGAGAGTTCCAGTTTCGGTAGTTCCGCGAGCAAATATTACCATCATTGGTGCGCATGCGGTTGAAGCTGCTGCTTTTACTTTTCTAGTCTCATTGTTGCCCTCGAGTAATGGTGCGGCTAGGACGGTAAGAGGAAGGAGCAAGAGTGATAGATATTGTAGAACTTTCATCATGAAGCTCTTTGGTTTGTACTGCCTTCTTGAAATGATAATAGATCGATGAAAAGCAAGCTGAATTTGATTGATAATTTATAAAAGTGATAAATCATCCGTTAGGGTAGACATGAATATATATCTTTCATCATCCCAACAACCTCTGTTGCAAAAATCTCTATCATCATCACAAAGTAAAGAAATAAAACAGAAGGTTGCGATTGGCTAGAACATCTCATGCAATCTGACAGTGGTTTTTTCATCCAGAAGATGTATGGGATGAATTTGCGAGCGATTGAGGCACAGATGCCCGCTTTTTTCAACATGAAACTCGTCTCAACCTCACCCCATCATCCATTGTCATAATACCGAGGTAAAAGAGAGACCAGATGGTAGAATTTTCTCCTCCTTGGCCTGATATGGAACAACTTAGATGTTTAGACTACAACATCTGAAATCTGGGCGTTAAGGCTGTGTACTGTGTGCTTCAAGATTCATCAACTTGAGAATATTGTGTTGGATTGCCAACCATTGAGATATTTCCAGATTTTGGTATGTAGTAATGGTCAGTGAAGGATCGGCCACTGCACAATCTGAACGTCTTCCAAAATAGAAATCAAATCGTTTTCGCAAGCCCTATATCAATCTCCATGTGATATTTGAATATGTGCACCTTCCCAAGACTTTGAAGCTCTCTCAAGTCTGATGATTTCCCCAAGCGTTTGGGACGCCAACCCATGTTGTCATTTGTCTGATTGTAAAAGCTCTATGCCTCAGTACTCATTTCGAATAGACAATGTGCTTGAGTATATGCTAAGATGGGTCGCATCGTTTGACTCGAAACCGGACGAAATACTCTATGGAGTTGGGATGGTTGATAGGTTTCTCGGAATGTGATCCACAGAGGAGAACTTCCCCCCCAAGATAATATCCACTTTGCTTCTACCTTGGGGTACTTAATGGTTACTTTATTTCTTTGATCGGCGGTCTTTGCCAACTTTCCAGGACTTTTCAGTGATCAGATTGTATATTGTGTGCTGATGTTTGTCGTGCTGTGGGGAGAATTTGCATTGGAATACCAAGCATTTTGGTCACTGTAACAGAGATTATCCCTACACAGACCCTGTAATACGTTTCCAACCCATGGCAAAATTTCGTTCATCTTACAAACAACACACAAAACCATATTTTTGCATTAACTTTCGACTCAGGGTTTCTTTGACTACCGAAGTTTTGCTATGCATCGGAATCCGAAAGGTCTCAAGTACTTCAAGATGGGCATTGCTCCGTTAAGTAGTGTGGGAACAAAATGGAATACGGCTTGGCTTCATGCTGGTTGCAGAAAATGACATACTATTTGCCATATTCTTAAGGAACAACTGAGCGAATTCCCCAAACCCCCGGTCTTGTGGAATTTGGTTTGGTCGGAAGTATGAAATCTTTGCCATCAGGAACGTTGTGTAGTACGAATCTTGGAATGGTCTATTTATTTGACCCGTCTGGTGCGGGAAGCATGGTAATTCAAGGCGAAACGCATCGAGTTTGGCATCGAGAATCCCATGTGGAATGTTCAATTATTTGTTGATGAAAAAGGGGAATCAGAACTTCAGAAGGATAGCTTACATAAGAATAAAATGAAGCTGGACAATGATTGGAGGAGCGGTCAACGAAAGACATCCCGCGTCGCAGGCTTCTGAATACTCCGCGCCGCAGCCTACAACGGTTGAACCCCGTAGGCACTGTATTTGTGATTGCCACAAATTCCCGCTGACTTGGACGATTGTCATGGACTGACGGCGCAATTGAGCATCCGAGCGGATGCTTCCGCAAGTCAATCCTATATGGTCTTTGGAAAAGGCACATCAAAAAATGAGGCTAATTCACGATTTTTTCAAGATGATGATTTGGAGCTGAGTCGTACTACATCCAACACTGGCAACAGTATATTGCGGTCACAGGAAACTCCTAATTTTCTGCGTTTCCATTATTTAGGTCGGTAGTCTCCAGGCTGAGTAGGACTTTCATACAAGCCAGCATGCGAAGCTGTTACAACATCGAATGCCTGGCAGTGGTCGATCAGAAAATTGTTTCAAAGGGATCGAGGTCTCAATTACAGGCAGTCTCCCGTGAACTAACCTCTCCTCGATCTTTCCACCCCTTGGAATTTTTACCAAGTATTTCACCTAGTCTGTTGGGAGTCTGATAATTGAATCCGTTGAAGAATGCGAACTTTCCATTCTGGAAGCACTATTTTCTCCAATGAAGATTCACTACATGCAATAACATAGTACCGGTACAACCATAGTTCTATATTTATCCCTTCATCAATCTATACTTGAGAAGAAACAGACCGCAAGAGCGGGAGGTATCTAAATTATGTGAACATAAACATGCTGCTTGAGCAATAAGCTAAAAATGAACTTGCAAAAATAACACGATGAAAATGATCACAATTAATACTTACTTTCCTAGATTACCGGTATATGTATAACCATACCCAACTCCGCATTACGAAATCTCCCTCTTCTCAAACCCGACCGGCCTCCCATTAACAACCCCCTCCTCCCCACTAACCATCTCCATATCCGCTCTATCCCTCAACAACGCCGTCCTACTCGGGGCATCCATCTCCGCGCCTCTCCGCTCCACCACATCAAAAGCAAACCACTCGGGCCTCACAATCACATACGCGCTATAATCATACCACGGCACTTGAATCTCCTCGCCGTTCCCATCCCTCTTCTTCCTAATATCCACACTCCACAATATCGTCGCTATCACGGTGAGCAGCACCATCTCCACATAATCCTGTCCAATACACGCGCGTCTTCCCCAGCCAAATCCATGCTGTGCTTTGATGGAGGGGAAATGCGTGAGGGGTTCGCGGTACGTGGGGTATTCGGGGGAGAGCCAGCGTTCGGGCCGGAATTCTTCGGGATCGGGATAGAGGGTGGGGTCGCGGCATAGTCCCCATTCGAGCGCGAAACAGGTGGTGTCTTTAGGGATGTGGTAGCCTTCGTATATGTCATCTTGGGCGAGGACATGAGGAACGCCTGAGGTTTAGGTTAGAATTTTCAGACCATATTTGGATTATATCCCAATTCGTTCGGAGACTCGAAAGGTGGAACTTTTGAGAAAAAAAAGGGAAGAAGATAAAGAAATTAAACATACCAGCAGGAGCCGGACTTCTCCACCGGAAAATTTCTCTAATGATTGCCCTCACCACAGGCAAGTTTTGGATATCTTCGTAGCACGGTGGTCGTTCCCCACACACTCTATCCACCTCTTCTTGACCCTTAAGTTGCCACTCCGGACATTCAAGCATAGCGTGAAAGAGACTTTGGATAGGCGAAGAAGTGAGTATACTACCAATCAGCGCTAACATACCCACCGAATAGGTATTATCCTCGTCCAGCGTGGGATTCGTGGGCATGGTAAGGTGTCTCTGCATCCAAGAACTCTCCGTCTTCTCACTCTGAAGCGACTTCCTCACCGCCTCTTTCTTCCCAAACCAAAAGTTTCTTTCGCGGAGAAATCGCACGCGTTCTTCGGCTCTCCAGGGTTGCAGACAATCGGGAATCCAGTCGGGAAAGCGGCGCAGAAAGGGAAGTCTGTTTTGGATGTCACCGTCGGCGGAGATGCGGCGGAGGAGTTGGTTGGCGCGCATGATGGTTTCTTTTGCAGTGGAGAGGCGGGAGTCGTTCCAGGCCATTTGCGCGGAGATTTGGGAAGTGCATTCTTCGCAGAATTGTTTGAAGAGGTGCGGTTGAGCGATGAGGCGGGTGACGAATGTGGCGGCGCCTTTTTGCGAAAGGTTCTTGAGTCGGTCAGGGGGCATGCTCGACATGGTGTTTTTCATCCAGGTTTTGATGCGCTTCATATCCTCTAGAGGAATGTTAGTGTGAGTGGAGGGAATGTAAAGGTACGGGGAGACGTACCGCCATAGGTAATGAGGGGGATGTATCTATTGGTGAGTCTGCAATCACCCCCAATGGCCGGAAGGAATGGCCTATCTGAATAGATGGCCCCTCTTCTAACGAATAAGTCTTCGGCAATCTTATGTGAGGTAATCCAGACGGTGTTTGTTCCGTTTAAGTTGACTTGATATATTGGGCCATACTCCTTACTCCAGTAGTGCATCTGCATCCATGGATTCTTCGGATCCAGATCAAGAACTGAACCGATAATCGGATATCCTGTAGGGATTCATTAGTAAAACATCGTCAGCGAGATATCTTGCACATTCTATCTTACCTCTTGGACCCGGCAATGACTTGGCCCCATCAGGTATCTTGACCTTCTTGAAAAGTCTTTCATAAGAGATATAACATAGAAAAATCACGGCAGAAATAACAAGCAATAATGCAGAGTACGCCATACTTGCCGATCACAAAACGATCAACAGTTAGAATCTTGGAGTGGAAAAGAGAGAAAGGGAAAATCTTGGGAGACGTGATAATAAAGCAATCCTCGGCTGTCGAGATCGCGGAGGGAAAGAAACGATAAAGACAGAGAAAGGCGGCTCCATTAGTACTCGAGTATATACTAATTCCGCATTCACGATCTGGTCCACCAAGACAAAACTTGTCTCTTCATCTCGTCCACCTAGTTCACCAACTTCACATAGTTTTCATCTGACAGGTGGATCAAGCCGCGCCGAAAAACACACAAAAATTCAGAAAATTCAGAAAATACCTCCCTACGTGTATGTAGATCACAAAAAGAGGGGGTAGGTTGTTGCCGTTGCTGAAACAAGAGAGATGTGCTATCTTCAGCAGCACGGATACTAGGGAGGGCCCGCTAAGATCTAGTGCCCCCTTTTAGTGCTAAAGCTCGTATGCAAGGTCCTAATTGTGCCTTTGTTTCCCAATAATGGGTATATAAACATGTCGTTCGTTTGAAGTTTGAAGCTTGCTCCTTCTCTATTCTTCAGCTTGTACTGCAAATGATTGTTGTGCCTTCTATGTCTATTTATGCCAAGCCTTTTCTTGGATGACTGACTAATCACAAGGATGACCAGGACGATTGCAAGACTGACGGGGCTATCATGCTTATTACTTGCTATTTTGATTTACCTTTTCAGAAAACATCTCGATCGACAACCCAATCGTAAATCAATAGATAGCCGCCTCAGTCGAGAGTCTGAGACTCTGAGCGACTACAAAGCCAATCATTCTAGCGTTATCAATAAGCTACCCCGCGGACCTCCCAAAGCTTAATGATGATGTAAAGCCCTGCCGCACAGGGCACCGCAGTATTCCTGTACACTGTTAACCTCCGTACCCTCTGATCTTCCCATGGTTGTGTGTATTTTTAGGTACGAGACGAGGGTACTTTGCCCTTTGTTAGATATTCAAGCCAAAGCAACCGTGATTCCAAACTTTATCGCCAGCGCGTTGAAGAAGACCCTTCGGGTGCATATCGTCGATTCGTCGTAGTGTACTCGAGTATCAGTATTCAGGTACCACTATTGATCCTCCTTCTAACCAGTTCGGTCAAAACCATAGTGCATAGACGAAGATTTCGCCCGAACCAGTCTCTTTTCATAACATAATGTTGGAAATATTTCTGCATATCAATTCTTAATTCGGTGGCTTGGCAGAATGTTATTGGAATCTGGACTTCCTTCTTGTACATTTACAAAATTGAATATGCATGTACAGGGATAATTGCCTTAGTATAGGAAAAACTGGATGATCAGATATCGCGTGTTACAATTCAAAATAGTAAATCTGTAGATTAGATATAAGGTTTCTTTCAATCCTAACTTGTCACAGGAGAACCTTAAATCTTTATCCCTGTACATGCATACTGTATTCAATTTTGTAAATGTATACGGTAGTCCTGCGGACTGGCGAGAAATTCAATTGCGTTGTTTCCCAAAAGGCCGAATGGCGAAGATCGTGTAATGAGCGCATGTATCTTCATCTACCGTGGGTGTATAGGTAGGTATTCGTGTTAGTGCAGTAAGTATATTATAATACAGTACCGGTACAACAGTAGCCGATGCTGAAGTTTGTACTCAAGTACTTACTTCAATATAGTAGATATAAATAGTCCCTACAGGCATCTCAGGAGACTAATTTATCACGAATAGATTATTATAGTGTTAAATCATGTATCGAAGAGTATTGAGATGTATTGAGATCTTATATTAAAATCTGAAATCATAATCTAAATCTAATTAGATATAGTCCTCCTTTTAGCATCCTACATAGCTCTTCACTTGTAGATTCTAAGTACACAATCGGAGTCCTGTTTATACCCTTTTGGTCACATATGAAGTGTTTATAGAGAGTCATATTCTAGATTATATAATGAGTATTGTATTTGATATAGAATATAGCAGAAGTGCTCGTAAAGAAATATGGAATATGGTATTGGAATAATGTGAATTCCCGTGAACAAATTTTCCAGATTATTACATCGTGACATTTTTGGCATTTCCCATCGACCAAAATAGGAATCATTGCCAGCTCGGTTCCGAGTTGGCTATTTCAAGCATGCAAAGAACCCTTCCTTTCGTTCTAAACCCCATTTCATGAATATGAATGGTTATAAAGATGAGGTAGCCAATCCCGCTTTTAGCCACCGTGCTGAAGAAAACATGAAACATGGCGATTGGACCAACCACAAATCCTGGCCCAAACAGACAGGATCAAGCTTGGTCGAAGAATACGGTGTTTAGTACGTACGATTATCTGGCAAATGTCCTCAAATATCCGATTGTCTTCATGTCAGAATGCATCAAAATCCTACAAGAGAAGGGATCCCCGTATTGTAGTCTTCCACAACCCGATGTATCTTTCAATGGTCTAAACATTTCTAAATTTGGATTATTCGACCTCAAACTCCTGAAAGGCTGACAGGGCTATTCGAAACTTCTCTCCATAAACCATGTTGGAATTAGTCAAGCGACTTAAAACTTCGCATTTACTCGTTCCTATTCCTGCATCTGTTCTTGTTTAGAAGATGATGAAACGAAACACACACACACACCAGATATCTGATCATAGATCAGGTGTGAAAAGTGGGGAGTGGGCATTGTCATTGATAGACTGCTGGACCGTACCATTTATCTCGCCCATGGATTATCCGTGAACCTTCCTACTATAACCTGATGAATTATCCTCATAATCCTCACACGATTAAGCAGTCGCGCAGGTGGTTCTCCCCTTCAGTTTATAATCAATATTTCCCCATGACATACTACAGTAGGTATGTTTCTCAAGCAGGAGAGAGTTCGCTTAGCTTGTGAGGATAGAGGAAAGATTGAGATCTCACTAATTATAAATGAGATGGGTGTACCGGAAGTCAGTTGGTTGTACCAGAATGCTTGATTCAGTGAGATGAGGAGGGATAAACATCGAGTTATTCTGCGGAATTCGGGGATTTTGTAGCAGGGGAAATGACTGATAAATGAAGTTACCGATGATATCGATGAGAAGAGCATCTAATATTGCAAGGCAGGATTCCTCTTCTTGCAGTAAGCTTAACTCTTAGACGCCATTTATTAACTGTTGGATAATATCCGGTATCTTGCAATCGTAGATTGTAGAATACAAAAGAGACAATCGAGAGATGAGAGATATGGAAAGGGTTCGCAATATGAGCCACTTTTCATGGTGTCCAGACATTGCGGTACCATGACACGATTCCAATAAATAAAACTAAGCCCCTGAGTATTGGACAAAACTTCTTTGATAAGTTAAGATATTGATGAATTCTAGTACTCAGGTTCGATATTAGCAAGACAGGCAGAAATTCTACCGTTTATATATGTTCAGGAGGCAGACTCATCCATGGAATTTCACAACGCAATATTCTCATCTGGCTACTCATATAGATTGAAGTAAATCATATGTTAGAGAAGAGAAAGAATTTACAGCAGAGGGGCAAAACCAAATTCTTGGGGAGGATTAATTAATCCCCTTCTGATATGGGAGCATCTTGGCAATTACATATCACTTAGAGATGGACGGGTCAGTAATCAAGTTGCTTCTACGAGTAATTTCGATCTTCTTTTTCGCATCGTCTTTTGCGCAATCATAAAGTAAGGATCTGGCGTACGTGCGTGTGCTCTAGGGTTTGCAGAGAGAGGGTTGGTTGTATTGAATGGCTTCACTTTGCTATTATAACATTCTTGTGCCTTTAATTATTGTAATGATAGCTGTATCTACATTTCATTCAGATTAGTATACGAGTATACTGTTTTACTCACATACAGTCTTCAATGGATTTAACAAATTTCAAGCAAATGGAGAAACAGAAGACGATCAAATCAGTCAGTCAGTCTATCATATCAAACTTCTATTTTCTCATCTATACTTCTCATACCCGATCTCCTCTCTAATCCTCGCCTCTACCTTCTCTATAATCTCACCATCATACACCTCTTCTACTTTCTTCCCTTCCTTAAAAATCATATTTTCGTGTTTAGTTGCCTCCTCTCTCGTCATACACACCAAATCCCTAGCTCTAACTTTACTCGCCTTCTGACCCTTGACACTCGTATCCAGCGTACTGCCCTCTTCGGGTTTTCTCCATCTCGTCAACGCTAGTCTCGTTGATATTCCACTCAATGCCGACTTTCCTTTATATACTTCTTCAATTATGTATCCCACATCGGCGGATGTCAATGGGACTTTCAAGCCTTGTGCATCTTCATGTTCAGTGGTAGTTCGAGCGAGTTTTTCTTCAAACCCTTGCAGTTGCGCGAGTATACCATCATACATCTTGTCTCGACCTTTGGCTGGAACGTATTCGCATGGATAGCCTGTGATTTGGAGGATCAAATGATTGGCAACCACATAGCCGAAGACAGCTGGCATGGTGCCTAGAACTGGCAATATCCGCACGCGAAAATCGGGTAATACACCGAGATCGCCCACTGAGCCTTTCTTGAATTCCTCCTCGGGTAAAGGTAATAGTTGTGCTTTTCCTGGTCCAGGTTTTTCTGTTGAGTATACCACGTTTATACCGGATGTGATACCTAATAAACGAAGTCTTCTTCGAGTGGCACGGGAGAGTGGATCATCTGTACTGGCAGAAATATCTCCGACAAAAACTCTGGTAGGATCGGATTTGCATCCTGCGCCCATGGACGAAATTACTGGAAGTTTGTTTTTATAACAATATTCCAGCAATTCCACCTTGCTATCAATGTTATCAATAGCATCCACAATATAATCTGGCCTTCTGCCATCCCATTCCGCTAGCAAGGAGTCCGCCGCTTTGGCATGGAATAATTCGTTCCTCAAATCGAAATTTACCCATGGCGTAATTTGCTGCAGACGATTCTTCAAACATCCTACTTTCGGCGTACCAACATCTGCTAGTGTCGCAACAGCATGTCGGTTAAGAGATGAGAGCGTAACTTGGTCGAAATCGATGAGTCGTATATGCGAAACTCCTGAACGTGCGAGGGCTGCTGTACAATGCGATCCAACACCTCCACAACCAACCACAACCACAAATGCTGAGCGTAATTTTTGTAGTCCATCATCTTTCAAGAAGACTCGGTTCCGTGCCAATTGCTCTAGAATGAGTTCTACACAGATCAGTTATGCCCATGGTATTTTTATAGGACAATGGAAAATACCATCGTCATAATCCCCTCTCCTCGCTCTCTCTGCGAATGCAGCGCCTCGCTCATCTTCTCTACTTATACCCGTACCCTTGGGCGCAATCCCCATATCCGTAAGCTTCACTTCTTTCGTCAGCACAAACACTTAAATCCAATCCCCATCTCATTTCCAGGTGGCATATCCAGACATACCAAATCAGCATGATGGTCTCGTCCCAAACTTGGTATCGAGCTCTTTAAATCCTCCACTTTCTCTTGCCTCCTCAATGCCTGGTAACTGAAAATTGCACCTGCTACTACCGCACCAGATACAATCGCAGTAGCTGTAAACTGCGCTTGTGACGAGCTGCCCACGCGGTTGATCAAATTTGACATTTTGATTATACCAATGGTATAGTCGTGAAAGAAACAAAATCGTGGGTCTTCGTAATTTTCGTAATCGTAATGAAAATACTAGGCTATATCATATATTTGAAGATGTATAAACTGAGGAACTCATTGCTAAAATTCACTAAATGTTGTTGTGACAGTGACAGTTGTGTTTAATTTGAACTTTTTCTGAGTTTCACTGATAGTTAACGGCAATCTCCGTCGCGGGGTGCCTCGGCTCTTGATTGGCGAGATATGTCTGTCATAAGGAGGGGCAGATGTACAAGTACTGATACCAGATTCACTTATTTATAAATAGAAACTCATTTATAAACTCATCATTGATATCTCAACTAATCATTCCTGTATAATGTCCATGTCTATTCTTACAAAAAGCATCCCCAAATTAATCAATCCCATCAATATCCAACACATCCGAAAAATGACTTCCACACCAGCAGCACACATCAAATCCCTCGACCACCTCGTCCTAACCGTCACCTCCATACCCCGCACCACCCAATGGTACAAGGCAAATCTGGGTATGAAATCCGAACAATTCGTCTCCAGTGCCACTCCAGATATCACGTGCCATTCATTACTTTTTGGTTCGCAGAAAATCAATCTACATGAACTTGGAAAGGTAGTTTTACTTTAAACCCATTGCTTTTCACATGGATATTTGAATCTAATCGATTTGAAATGTCAGGAGTTTGAACCCAAAGCTTCAAATGTCAAGGAGGGAAGCGCAGATTTATGTTTTTTCACGGACGACGATGTGAAAGATGTTCGTAGACGTCTAATAGATGCAGGCGTGGAAATGGTAGACCTGAGTCCCGAGAAGGGAATTGTGAATCGCACAGGTGCCCGAGGCAAGTTGAGAAGTGTTTATTGTAGATATCCAGACGGGAATTTGATCGAGTAAGTGGATTTTCTTTCCTTGAATTGAGTATACATTAATGATCATCGAAGGGTTTCCAACTATATTTAATAACTATGAAATATGGTCTGTGGTTCCTGCCATATTGCTGGGACTGCTATCTTTCCGAGTACTCATCATTCATCATCAGCCTTTTGTTATTCCAATATCCAGCCCGTAACACCACCCCGAACAACCTCAAAGACAAAATAAAATAGGGATAACATTACAGCCCACTGAAATGCATGACTTTCCCCTTTTCAGCCCGTAGCTGCTTACTCTCTTCCTCCATCCGAGATTTGTCCTCAATATGTGCAAAGTCACCCGCCAAGAATTTTTCGTTTCGTGCAGACCTCATCCCCCTCTCAGGTGGTTGTAAAACGTCCCTCATTGCCCAGGCTCGACTGGTAGCCTCAACATTGCGCGTGAGAAGCTCACGTGCCTCTTCTTCGGAAGTAGGCATAGGCATCGCCGCCATATCCATTGGTGACAATGGTAGCGAAACACTATATAAATCCTCATCCTGGGCAGCAAACGATCCATGCTCCGAAATAGAAGACACTGCAGATTCAGAGTCATCGACGAGGTCGACAGCGGTAGCTTCTAAAGACTCTGTGGTATCTGGAAGCGTCCGGCTCATAATGCCAACTTGGGCTTCAGGTGCTAAGGAAGCATGTATCAACCTAGATTTAACTATATTCCGGAGCAATTTTCCTTCATGCTTTATATAGGCGCCGTAGAATGTCTTATCAATCATCGCCGCCGCATGAAGATCGTCGAGATTATCGAGGAGTGATAAAATGCGTAAGCTAACAGCGATTTTGGTTGCCTCTTTTGCTTTTTCGGCTTCGACAATAGACTCTTTCGAGCTAACTTGCACGGGTAGCTCAAATATCTCTTCCGAGGCTGTATTTTGTGGTCCCTTGCCCTTGCTCAGGGCCCATCCGTGTTTGCCCGAGACATCGTGAAGTGTAAGACCTATAATGGTGGTCGAGATGTCATTTATTTTGGCTCTAAAGTAAGGAGCAAAATCACAGACGCCAATATGAGTCTGAGGCGGACTAGGCATCAGTCTTAAGCAGTCGATCAACTCCTTAAGACTACGATTTGATGATAGTTTGAGAGAAAGAGGGGAAACGCCCAATTCATTGTATACTAGCATGAGCCAGCCGAGGTTGGTGGCATCGCAAGTATGGGATCCTCTTGGGCATCGTACTGTGGACAGCTCAAGTGATCCTACGTGAACTGGTCTCTCTGAATTCTGCCGCGGTGGCCGGAGGTATTCGCTTATGACGCTTGCACAATAATCAAGTATTTGTTCCATGTATATACGCCTGCGTGTCTTAATCGTATTCTTGATAGCTTGTGGCCAAAGTTCTTTACCTTGAGTATCGTCATCATCTTTGGCGTTAAGAATAATGCTTCGAGAGATTCGTGTGAATAGGTCTCTTGCGCCAAATGCATACGCGATAAGGAGGAGTTCTTCGGGGTTGTTCTCGGCCGCTCGGGATTCCCATTGAGGTAACCATCGATATTCTACTTGTAACTCTACTGGAGATGTGCACCTATATCTTAGGCATACATCTGCAATACTAACGAAGACCGAAAAATCAATATCATCCCGTGGAAGCCTCTGAGTGTGTCCATGGATCGCATGAAGTAAGAGCGCCAATGCCTCGTGGTTGTTAGGCTCCATCTGTGGCATGCGATATACATTTACTCCAATGCCATCCTTTCCAACGACCTTAGATGGTGCTTTAGGAAGGTCGTTCATCATATCTAACGGGGTAATTGGTCCAGGAGAAAGCATTTGAGAGAGCAATGGCGACACATCATCTGGGATCAAAAAATGGGACGACACACGAAATCTGATAATCGGTAGACTATCCGAGGGGCGGTTGGCAAACTCTAAGATTGTGTCTCCATTCTTATAAATGACAGACTCGCGAACGACTCTGTTTGGTGTATGACCTGTGTTGAATAATCTTTCCGATTCTTCGATGTCGTGCTTTAGTTTATCAAAGTTCAAAGATCGTATCTTATACTTTTCGAAAAATTCTGGCCTTTCCGACCTCACTCGACGAACGCTTGTGTCTCGCCACTTTGTGATGACATTTTTACGATGCTCCTTATCTGCTAAGAAGACCTCGAGCTGACGTTGAGATGCATCGGGTTCATAAGCAGTATACGTCACAACTAGAGAAGTATGAAGAGTGTTGAGCAGTGTTTCCTGAACAGCCTTGTACTCGCGAATAGTTGATATCCACTGGGGATTGATCTGAAATGGTAGAGATGCGTCATTGATGGAGCCACTGCTGAGAGATGATCGTGTATCCAACGGACCTATGCTGGATTCGAATGATGGATTCCGAGCATGATGCTCTTCTGAACGTATCTTTCAGTCCCATGAATAAATAGAAGGAAATTATAAACGGCTTGTATATTATACAGCTTTAACAAAGGACTTACGCGATTTCTCAATCAATTTTCGACAATGTTCTAGGGATTCCTCTCTCTGCGTTTTGTAAATTTCCCAAGCGGCATCTACATTTTTAGGTTCCGGTCCCACCGGCGCTTTGCGTAAACGTCTTATGTTGTTTTGCAACTGTATGTAATTGGGATCGTGTAATGCGCCGAGGAAGAGATCTTGCGATAAATTAGATCTAGTTAATTCGATTTCCGGGAGAACGACAGGAGAGCTAACGATCAGGTCGCTGTGAGGGGGCTACGACGATGTTACCGAGATGAAGGGGCATCAATAGAATTGGAACACAGACGTGAATATTTTGGGAACATACATCAATCATCAACCCAGAGCTACTGGCTATAGGAGGTTCTTCCCTCGTAATAGTGTTATTTGGTCTCTTCCAGAGCGAGAAGCGTCCTGCCTTCTGATGTGAATTATTAGAATTCAATCCGCTTGCATGCGACTGCTGTCGCGTTGTCCTCGACATTTTGAAATGGAATTTGTTATCTTTCCTGCGAACAGTGTATGGAGGTTGTGTCTTGTATTCATCATCATGAAGGTCTCAAAGCATATCACAACGGCGATGTCAATATATGTAAGGCTGTTGACGAGACATTCTCTGGTTAATGGCAGTGTAATGCCAAGGACTGTGGGGTGGCTCGAGAGGAGGGTACTACAGTTTCTGTGTCACCAAAAGATTTGTACCAGTATATTGGACAAATTATATAATTCCAATCAAGTAACTAGGTCATTCCATTTATGATACTGACACGTAATAGCACGTGATTCATTACCCACATCACCCATAATAAGTAAATAAAAACTGTAAAAACTAAAAACTAAACAATTTTCGACCCAACAAATACATAATGAATTAAAAGAAAAACATTCTCCAAGCCTTTTGCATCCCACTTTGTTTGGACCCTTCCTGCTTCAATTGTTCATTTCAGATCCTTTTCACTTGCTGTACATGTCTTTGTGAAGTAATCTGCAATCCTGCTAGTATCCCATGATGCATCTCCCAGTACACCAGAGATTTTCAGTCTATTGAGAATTGCTTGGCTTCGAGACAGGAAAGTAATACTTCGGACCTCTAAAGCATCCTGTCTTCGAGACCAATACGGAAGATGACTTTTCAAATCACCGAGTTTCATGCTTGGTGAATCTCCATCAGCCGTCTCAGCAAGCAATTGGTCACCAAAGCTAGTCCACTCATTAGCAAACTCATTTTTCAAATCAAAGACCGCTGAGAACCCTTGCTGCTGGCCTTCAGCTCCCGAGGCTTTCATCACTTTAAAAGTTGCTTCATTCGCCGCTGCTCGCAGTGATGGGCCTCCGTCGTAAGCTGTGTATTGTACGCGTAATAGCACATCGGTAATGGACTCGTAATTGAAAGCCCTGACTGGTGTTGGAAGCTCCAGGCGCCATTTTGAAATGGCCCCGGCGCCCTCGAACGGCATGTACTGCGGGCCAGAGAAATCGAGCTCAAATACTCCAGAGTCGACATCACCGGAGCTTACGGCAATAGATGATGATGGGATTCGATCGGTTCGGAATGATTCGCTGCTTGTGAATTGAGAAGCAACATAGTCAGCTGCACTCTGTGTAATACGATACTTGTGCTGTAACAGTGTCAAGATAGCATTGGCGCTACAGTTTGATTCAAAGACCGCGGGAATCGACACACCCACTGATCGTATTCTGCGCATATAGTGACCGGGGAAGTCCATATCAAAAAGCAGCTCGTCCAAGGAGAAGTCAGTTGTTCCCGTAATTCTGAATTTCATCAGCGCCATAGGATCAATCTCTTTCAGTGATACAGTCTTGGTGATGTTATAGTCCGCCGAAGTTCCTTCAGCCTGTGCAGCCTCAAGCTTTTTCAAGTCCCAATACAAATCCTCGGCAGCAAGCAAACCATCACGGGACACGTCCCAGTACCCTCCTGGTTTGATCATCGAGCTTTTGCGACCCCCTTCGAAGATAAAGGCGCTCTCTGCTCGGAGAGCTGCGCTTAGAACCAGATTATAAGCTTGAAGATACAAGTTCCTGAATCTCTTTTCCATCCAGCCATAAAGCTGCTCGTTTGTATACTTGGAGCGATACCATGCCTCGGCCTGGGCAGCTTCTTCAAGTTCATGTTTCTGCATATCGAGTTCCTTCTGGACGGATTTGAGGTGGAGTCTCTGGATTTCAATTTGTTTGTCGATGGATTTGATCCCGCGCCCACTGATGTTTGCTTGGAGTCTTCGTTCCTGCAATTGCATTGTAAGACTGGCTTTCTTGTCAGCTCGAGCTGCTTGGTCTGCATGGAGCCCGGCAAATCCTCTCATTAGTGTGGAATTGGCCGCTATACTTTCAGCTATTTGGGTCCCGCCAGCTGAGAGAGACGTCCCAACTCCGAGAGGCTCAACGTTTCCTTGGATTGTCGGTAACAAATACAATGGAATAGCCACTGCGTCCAGGTTCGTAGCTAGGTAGTTCTTCCTTTGTGCAGAGAGAGACAATGACATTTCCAATTTCTCGAACGGTGACATTCTCAACTCATCTGAGGATAATATATCAATGTTTTGTGGAATGTCAGTCCAGTCATCGCTGGGCTTCGGTATTTTGGTGTCTGGCTCGCCGATGAGTTTGAGATAGTAGTCCAGCTGTGCCTCTTGAGAGCTGCGATCGATTAAGAGCGATTCGACGTTCTGCTGTGCCTCGCCAAGTTCAATTTGCTTGATGTCTAGCATCATTTGCTGTATCGTGATGCTGTTCCGCGCCAGAATGACGTTAAGCCCCTCTGCTTCTTTCTTTTCGATTGCAGCCAAGAGACGTTCTCCTAGCGACCGTACTTCGGTACACAAGTTCAAGGCCGCGCTCATAAGAGTTCCGAGCCGTTGACGAGTTAGTGGCCCGTCTCTTTCTCCGGAAACCATGCTTAATACATCAGATATGCTAAGACCTTGCTTGCTAAGAGCTACCAAATCTCCAGGATCAATGGGCGGGTCTCTAAGCGCGTATACCACCGGTTTTCCTGAAATATCAAAGGAGTTTCGAAGATTGAAGAGGCGTTCATGCACGAGACTTCACATTGTCTTGAATTTGGGATTCAACGGAACGCAGAAGTAATCTGTTTTGAGGAAGCAAACGATGTTCTCCTTCTTCGGATCATTATCTGTCGTTGCAGCTGCGCCTTTCGTCAATTTAGGTGAAAACGGTAGGCCCAGATCAAGTGTAACCTCATCGAAGTCGATATCCGCTTCCCTTAATTGCTCAAATGTTAGCGTCTTCGATTTTCGATTCCCCAGGTCTGGCACATTCGGTGGCTCTGGCCCTAAGACTCGAGCTGCCTCTATGTATCGTTGAGTGGCCAGTGGTAGACATTCGGCTGTGCCCCGACGGAACTGGATATCTCCAAGGGCGATGAGAATCTCGGCGTATTTCATAACAATCCATTTCATATATGAAACAGGTCGACCACGCGCGGCAGCATGGACAAGCGCACCATAAGAACGACGTTCCTTGATTGCAAGTTCGATCTCTCTTCTCAGATTTGTCAGGTCTAAAGGATCAAATGAACTTTCGCCGTGCTTCGCCATTCGACAAGCCATCTCTTGGAATGGTGGGAATCGCCAGCAGGATTGAGAGCTTATTGTTTTATCACCATCATATCTTTTCACTTCTAGGCTTACTGACGGATCAAAAACAAGTCTTGTAATCTGCAATGCATCGTCATATTGCTTTGTGGTAAACAACCGATCAACTGCTAGCAACACAGTGTGCATGCCAATCTCCCAATTATAGATAGCGGTTGGACGGCCCAGTTCGTGGTACGATGCACCTTGACTGCCGGCTCCGAAGCTTTCTCTCAGCTGAGTTGAGGGGAGTATTGCTAGCTTGTCATACAGAACTCCCAGTGGGTCGACACGAGTAGCGGTAGCTTCCATAAGCTCATGAGAAAACAAATGATCGAGCAAAACAAGCTCCGTATCATCCTTTACCCTTTGATTGGTCCATTGGTGGCCATTTGTCGGGGTAAGTTCTGTTTTTGGTAAATTGAAATAACTTACGCCCATACCATCGTTATCTTTGGTGCTCACTACAAGGGCTGTGACTCGCTGCTGCGTTTTCGATAAAGTCCATGTGAGATCGTTTTGATTTTGGTATTCCAAATCATGCGGTATCCAAATTAGAGGCTTGTTTGGGGCATTGGGATCAATTACCAATGAATCCGCGTTCATGTCTTTACCTACTGCTTTCTGGAAATACGTCGGGAACGGGCCTTTAGTAGGTGACGTTGCGCTGACACTCTGTGTACTGATCTGATCATTGAAGAATGTGAAGGTGCCAATCTCGACGAAATAAGCATCCCCCACCACCGAATAGTTTATCTGCATTTTCATCTTCTTGCCATCGAAAGTTGGGTCGATTCGAAATTGCGATGCAGAAGCTAGCAAACTCACATTGAGACTGCTTGATGAGACGCGCTTAGTAGTCCAACTGCCTCTGACACATTCTGTCCAGGACATTGAGATTTCCCAGATGCGGTCGGGCTGCGCTACTCCAGGTTTCTGCGAGCGTAAGTCGTCAAACGAGTTTAATTTTGCAAGATCTTTCCCTATATCCGTAGCCAAAGTTTTTGGTATGATCGATGGCATGAAAAGATAAAGCCTGCCCCCAATTATGACAGGAAACAAATAACTTCCAACCTTTTCAAGCCGATGACCTTCCCATTCCGTTTCCAATGATGGGATATCCATCTCAATCTTGGTCCATGGTTGCCAAAATATCTCACTGGTTGCCAAAACAGTCACGATACGATAGTAAAAGGAATATGGAGCGGTGCGGGTTCGCCCAAAGAAATGGAAGATGTCGGCCTCTTTGATCTCGGGCTCGTGGACATACGAAACAATATCTAGTTTCGATATTTCAGTCAAACCATACACGTAACTTTGAATAGCCTGCAGAAATGTATCGATACTCAGATCTTTCTGAAGTAAGGTGGCCTCGAACTGGTCAAACAACTGGCTCTTATCATCCCGAAGCATTGGATCGATCCAGTTCTCTGGGTAGAGGAACAATTTTCTGTTAGCTTCCCAGAGGGTGTATTGCTGCATCCAGTCCCACTTGTCACGTTTCAAATCCGTCATCAGGACATTTTTCTCTAGCCCGAGAAGACAACGCTGTGCATATAGTTGCACGACTGAAATTGCTTGCTTGATGCGTGATGTTCGCAATTTTGGACCGATTTGCACGTCGACGAGAAAGTATTCAAACAGTCCATCCGCATCCCAAATACCAAGATCCTTGATGTATTTCTGCTGCAGCAAGTAAGTTACGAGGGCAATGCGCTGGCTCTCCATTAGCCCTTCATCAAAGTTCTCCTGTTGTGAAGCGGTCAGTCTGTTTTGAAGGTTTTGCGCAGCTTGGACGTAGGCATCTGCACTATCTAACTGCTGCGGAGGCCGTGCCAGGTCAAGAAGCTCAGTGATAGGAGGCACGGAGTTTATGCCAGATACGCTGCCAAGGCTCTCATAGAACAGCACAATCGCTTTGAGGCTAAGCAAGGCGTCGTAATCACGTAGAGTTGCTACAAGATCTCCAGAAGTATAGTTGGGATATTTTCCGTTTATGGCGCTTTCCAGCAGCGTATCCTTCCAACCTGTGCTTGCGGCGATCTTTGCTGCAATTACATTCGCATCAGCACCAGTAGAGCTGGACAGCCATGAAAAAAGACTTATGAGATTGTCGTGTTTGCTGCTGGGGATACATCTGTCTCTCAAGGCGCAATATTCTTGGAGCTGGATCATGTCTTTCAGACTCGGTGAATTAAGGTCAATGGCCAGTATTTCGAAGTTCATTTGTACTTGGCGGTTTAAGAAAGCGATATCTGCTGTTGTCAATTTCAATCTCTGGCAAATAAGTGCTGCGCTGCGAATGGCGTCAAGAACATGAGTTATTCGCTGAACTGTTTTTGATAATAAAATTTCCTCGTCTGCGAAAGGCGTCGGCATTGATCGACACGTCGACCAAGATAGTTGGGAGGGATCGAATCCAGCTTGTAAGAGATATGCTTGGCCGGCGATCATGCGGAACGAACTCCATGTATTCGATGCTGTATCAAAGGGCATTTTGAGCCCATTTATGGTCAGTTCCGGGGGCGTACCGTCAGCAGTACTGACTCCCGTATAATGTATTCTAAAGTCATCAGTCGTCGTAGGTGTAAAGTATGCATCCAGATTTGTTTTGGTCAAATTTTCGTCAAGTACGCTAAGACTCTGTAGAGCTGCCATGGCTGACTCAATTCCGCTGCCGTCCTTTGTTGGTACTCTCACGACTTCTGAAATTAGGCTGGATATAATTGCAACGTCGATATCAGGTAGTTGGTCCTTAGCAGAGTTGAGAATAAGCGAAGTAAGAAGGTCTTGGATAATAGTAGGCGTGGCCAAATCAATAAAAGCTGCTCTGCGGTCCTGAAGATAGTTCTCCGCGTCAATCAAAGATTGATCCGGCGAAAGAGATGCAGAGGAATCAGCTGGGTCGCTCTCATAATTTGGTGGCTCAATCCAATCATCAAGAAGAACATTACCATTAAGCTTCTGCTTGGTATCGGGATTTTTCTCGAAGCGCGACCTGATAATGTTCTGCGGAAGGACGGAATTCTCCACCAGAGCCGTAAGTGCATTGTTCACCGTGGGGTGCTGCTTGGTATCATTTAGGATCTGGATCTTTTCGTCCGGAGTCAACAGACCACAGAGCTTGACTTGGGCAGAATATACTGCTCCGTGGGATGTTTGCTCAATTGAAGGAACTACTGAAAGCTTATTCGGCCAACTCTTCGATAGTGTAACGAATTCATCGAGATCTGAACTGGTCTCAAGTCTGATATAGCTTGTCCGAATTTGTGTGCCTAAAAGAATGTCAGCTTAACGAAAGAAGGTGCTTAAGGCAGTCACACACCCTCAATGAATTCGACTACTAGCTTTGCCGTTACAGAATCAAATATCCGCCCAGCACATTCGACAACAGTTTCCGAAGTAGGAACCGCGCCCGGCGTGGAAATAGATGAGAGCGACTTCTTCAAATCCACGCTTCCTTCTAAAATAGCCCTTGTGAGCTGCAACCCGAAACTATCTTGAATACCATCAGGCTGAGTCGTTTCGAAAATGTCGAGAAGCGATTCGATAGTCCAGTCTGAATCCAGCAATTTTCTCCAGTTCGCTATGACTTCGAGCGTCACTTTGGGGCTTGATAGAGGATTCTCTTTAGCTTCATTGAAGAGCTTGAAAAACCGGGTACATTTTCCAGCAGGGACAGACAAAATCTGAGAAATGGTAGCATATCGGTAGAGTATAGAAAGAGTCTCGACACTCAAATCAGCATCTGAGAGTCCTGTAGCTTCAAGCAGATCTTTGAGATATTGAAAAGGCCACTTTAAACTCGCGCAAACGCTTGTACCACATGAATAGATTTTGGACTTTATCCCCCCTGGCTGGAAGAATTCATCATTTTGAGGGATTGCGAATATTGGTCCATACGAAGGGCGGAGAAATTTGCGGTAAAGAAACGAGTCTTTACCGAAAGAATCAATAAGACCCCATAAAGGAAGTAGGGCAGCAGGTTCGATTCCACACAAACTACTCAACTCGACAATAGACGCAATTCCGTTGAGTACGTAAACTGAAATGGGCCGCGCTTCAGAAGAGGCAGCTAGCTTAAAGGTCGGAGAGCTCTCCATCTCCCTGCTACGTAAGCAGTAAATAGCCGCATCAAGATCCTTGGTCGACCAGCCAAGCTTAGCTTTCAGGCGCAAAAACGATTGGAGGTTCCGGCATATAATGGGGGTCAAATTTTGAAAAGGCGGCTGCGACGCATTAGACAGGAGTCGAAGGTCCTCGATGGAATCACTGAACGTGTCGGATCCGGATTTGTCGGTGATCACTAGATCTTGCCCAAAAAGCTGGATTTTCACCAAATCTAGGATATCTGGAAAATCTAGACCAGACCTTTGCATTAGCTGGCGCTTGATAAACGTTAGGCCGAGTCCATCTGTGACGTCTAGCATGGTGTCTTCATCCTCGTAACCCCATTGAACGTAGGTTTCGTTCTCCGGTAGTCCTGTGGTTATGGGTGCTATGTCACTTGACAAGCCTTGAAGTAAATTGGCAAACCACACAGGGAAGAAGGTTTCCCCTGTGATGGCTGCAAATTCCCTCTGGTGCAAATTCAGAACAGCTGCCATATTCTGTCTCTCCAAAACCTCAGCTGATCCACGATTCAACTCATTTCGTGCTTCCGCATCAAGTGCGCCACGTGTGTCTTGTGTTATCTTCTCCAAGATAAGCTCAGGTGCTTGGAATACCTCGATCAATTGGGAATAGGATATCTGGAATATGTTGAAATACTCTATAACAGAAGAACGCGCATGATCGTATGGGAAGCAGGTGAACGGAAACATCTGCTTGGAGATAACCTTGGAATAAACATCAAAGTCTGTGTTTCCGGGACGATAGACTGGTCCTTCAGAGTGAGTATCTTCGACACAATTCTCCCCGGCGTCGGCAGGAGTATTAAATGTGTGAATAGAATCCTGCTGGCCTGAAGCCAGCGGAGATAGCAACGGTTGGTTCTTGTAGCGAATGAAAGATTCAAGTACTTCATTCACCAGATTGATATTCGGAATCAAAGTTTGCGAGTTTGTGCAGCTAAGTTCCAACTTTCTAAGATCCGGGCGCCGAGATGAAAGCAAATTCAGGAGACTGCTCCTGGTTTTCGGATTGACAAGGTCTTCTTCATCCTGAGTTATCGACCCGTCTCTTCCAGTAGGTTTAGTGTTGCTTAACAAGTTCAGAAGATCTGCAAAATAGGCTGACATAGAAGTGATAGAGCAGCATTCCTCACATGCAACATTTTCGAGTCGAAATATATCGGTCAGGTTGTTCCAAGATTCTGGAGGACCTCCGCCGCTTGTCAATGGCAGAATTGCTTTCTCGTCGTTTTGAATTGGCTGGAGCATGCTACCCTCCCTACCTCTTTTCATCAAAGCAAGCCAGAGATGCTCGTTCCAGCAGTCAACACGCTCAGCACAGTCGTGAAATTTGAGTGCGTTCTCAACTGTTGTACCGGCGCTAACCAAGTCATTTTTGAATACATCCTTCGATTGTACTGTGATACTTCGTACGGAACGGTAGTTTGAGTTGTAAAGACGAGGAATATCTGATGGGTCTTCAACGAGACTCGAGAGAATTTTCAAAGACTTGACGAATTCAAAAGCGGCTGAAATTTCTTCATTGGTTTGTGTAGAAGATTGCTCGATTTCAGAAGCATTTTGTGGGAAGTTTTCCTGCACCGTGGCGAGTAGCTCGGAAGAACCAAGTTGAAGTCCCCGTTGTATCATCGTTGCCAGAAGAGAAACGATGATGCTTTGCGGACGCTCTTCGAGGGAGAAACATTTCTTGTCTCTGATCATAATAAGTATGACAACAAGTGGCTGATCATCGAGGAGCCTGGTCCGCACTTGATTCAAATCATGAGCCGCCAAATCTTCGGGTAAATCATTGAGTACCGAGTTTAACATCTGATCGAGTTGATCTTGAGGAAACAGTGCCGATGCAAGGCCTTCCGGAGAAGGTTCCGCCAACAATGTCAAGAATCCGCCACATATATATTCATCGTCGTCGGTGTACGTCAACAATGATTTGACGAAACCGAGAACTGCGATAGTCGTTGCAGGAACAGTCCATTTTCCGAGAAAGGTATCGATAGCCCCTCGAGGATCTCCTGGCCGATTATTTACGGCTACCATCAGTTTCGTTCTAAGATCATCACTGAGATGATCATTGCCAATGGCTTCAATAAAGGTCGGCATGATTGGTTTGATGAGTAGAATTTAATTTGGGAAAGTGTTTGCTGCAAAATATTTTTCCCGGAAAGAGATATTGATATGATCAAAAGTGTTTATGTTAAAAGAAAGTACTGTTTTTTTTGTTTTTTGTTTTTTTGGAAAACTGATGAGAAGTTGGTTGTCTGGAAAGTGGCAAGCCGAGTCTTTTCACGAGTCTGCTGGGACTATGATGAAAGTCGTTTTCCAAGCGCCGACCAATACCAGAGTAGGACAGTAAGTACCTGGACACATCAGTCAAACATTCATGATGTTGTCGGTTGAAAGTGAGCTAGTATGTAGGTTCTGCTACATCCAATTCCGGATCACCTATATCTGCGATATTTGCGTGCCAAATCACCAATATCTGCATAATGTATCTACAGATCACTTGTGTCTGTAATGCATGAAAAAGGCCTTGCTTCATCCGTAAAGTATCCTGACCTGCCAATTAGAGGGCTTTTAGCCAGTGGTGGCCATAACGCCACCGGCAGTAGTAAATTGCCAGTGATGTCAGTGGGAGTCAATAGTAGCCCTTTGACGGTCAATTTGGTGGTACTTTTATCTCAGGGGTGATTTATCTGATGTTCGCCTACTTAAGCGTGACGCTGCGTGAGCTGACTCAAGATAATGACTTCAGTAGAGCCATTCACGATTACAGCCTACCCCGCAATTCGACCAAAAGGGTAAGTCAGGGGTTAAGCTCAGGTAGCTGAGACAAGACGGGGTATGCAGTGAAAGCGGGGTGTAGTCTTCTATCCGGTCTACCCCATTCGTCGATATCGATGGGATGGAACCCTTACCCGAATGCGGCATCCCATTGACTAATAGGGTCTATATGCATTAAAGGAGATTTTTTTTAAAACTATTTATTAATAAGTCAATATTTTGATATTTTGATATCTTTGATATTGATATATTATTTATTAGTAAGAAAAAGTATTAACGTGGTTTATCAGTGCG